TTTAATATCTTTAAAAAATTGACTCAATTAACTGCATTTTTTTTATACCGTACATTAAAGTCCCTAGTGGGAACCTTTGCGTTTGCAAACAGAATCAGTGTTGGTCCAGTGCAGATATTTATTCTTAAAAACTATCTTAGTGCAGCAGAAGTTACTCCGTGATTTTGAGGCACTGCAGTCCTGTGAATTCCTGGATGACTGCTAGTCACATCGGTCACTCAGAACTTCTCACCAAAGGATCCAGGGAGGTATTACTTATAGACCTAACACTCACATGGGCTACATCCTGTATGTCACTTGGTTTACATTAAAACCTTGGCCTGTACGGAGCGCAAGAAGTTGTATCTACTTTGTTTTCTGCCGCTGGCAGTCAGGAAGGATTTAAACAGGACACGTTAAGTATTGAAGTTTGCAATGCTAATGTCAGCGTCCACAGTTGAAATCAGCCCACATGAAACAGGATGACCATAGAAGACAAGATAGTAAGCGTGAAAAAGTAAACAACAACCTTAAAAAATTATTTAGTTAGTATCTCGTTTAACCCTTTATAGGGCACTCAGCGAAATACCTTAAAAAATCAAAATTTCAAGCCAATAGTGTTATTGGAATCAGGACAAGACCTTATCACCTTTGTAACATTAAAAAATATGAATATATTGGATGGCAAAAATGAATGTCAATGTAACAACAAGAAACACCAAGTTGCCCGAATATATTAAGAAAAATAACAAAAGTGCTTCTATAAAAAATTAATGAAAAACACTCTGAGAGTGAAAGAAACACATTTTATTTGCTACAACATGACCTTAGAGACATTAATGCTGATACTGGCACTTACATTTTCTAGTTTATAAACCTAAATATAATTGTTAACTTTTCAATGAGCTTTTTACCTTTTTTTCTTGACTCATACATTTTTTTTCCCAACTTAATTGACAGTAGGTAATATATCATTCAAGGGCTCATCTGATTGGTCAAATCCTAAATTAAGATGTAAAGCCATGTAGCAGTATCTTTGCTGAACGGCTGGATATAGATCTTTTGTTCTAACTTCCCCCTCCTATACACCCTTTCCAGCTCATTTAAGGGAAGCGCAAAAAGTTGGGCTGTCCCTGGCCCTCCTCCTGGTGGAAAAGCGCCCGCCTAACACGAGTGACCCATTCCTGGAGGTGTATATGGATCCAGACTTTGAGGAGGACAGCGGACCCCTACTACAAAACGCAATTCAAAGGATGGATCTGTGCAAGACGGACCCAAAAACATTTAATGAACGTTTTTAGCCTTTTAAGTGTGGTTTTTACTCATTCCATTTTTATCAACGGTGTACATTACAGCCGAGCCACATTATTTAATCTCTGAGGCCAAAATGGCTATTTATCTAACACGAAGAGACAAACTGCAGGAAGGACCTCAGCTTAGTAACATCAGTGTAACATCAAAGCCAGATTGAGACTGGAGTTTTGCTTCCACAGAGCCACTGGGGATTTGAAGGGTTTTTTACAACTGTGGGGTTTTAATGGTGTTTTGTGCACCATTTCTAACTCAGGAGAGCTAAAATATAACAAGCTGCTATTTTAATAATGTGCTGATGACCTGAGATTTTTTACCTGGTTATTGTTAAATCATTGTTAAATAAATGTTTTGTTAAAAATAATAAAAAAAATCTTCTTCTTCTTATTCTTATTATTATTATTATTGAGATCAAACGCGTTATATTCTTCCCCACACTGCTTCTGTTGTCTTCGGCCTCGTATCCTAGCAACGCAGGAATATTCCAGTTAGAGGAGAAGCGGGGGGGGGAGTAAGAAAACA